TCCTTTATTTATTTATTTACTTATGTATTTATTTATTTATTTATTTAGTTAGTTTTTTCATTTTCTTTAATTTGATTTTAGTTGAAATATTCACACAATATTCTCATTAATTTATTATTTATTTATTTATTTAGTTAGTTTGTTGTTAGTTTTAATTACATTTTTGGTATAATTTTAGTTAAAATTTTCACAAATTCTTCTTTATTTATTATTTATTTATTTATTTAGTTAGTTTGTTTTTTATTTAATTTTAATTTTTTGCTGTCGTTTTAGTAAAAAATGTTTACAAATACTCTCATTTACTTATTTATCTAGTGATTTTTTTATTTTTTATTTAACTTTATCTTATTTTTGGTATCATTTTAGTCAAAAATGTTCACAAATATTCTAATTTACTTTTTTCGTTTGCTTTTTAATTTACTTTAATTCATCAAATGTATCATTTTACTGTGAAATGTGAACTCCTTTAGCCTGATTTACAGCAGCAGGAACAATATATTTCAACAACAACAACATAAAGTTAAAAAAAAAATCTCTCCAGACCACAGTGAAATGCAAGGCGAGGACTCTCTGGTGCCGCATTTCCCCCTGTCTGTCCTAAAATACAGCGGGCCTGAAATGTATATAGCTTTAAAACATGACAGAGAGCAGAAGGAGAAAAAACCTGGCAAATGTTTGTCCTGAATGGAGGCATCTGTTGGGGTGTAAAGGGGCAGAGCCGCAGCCCATTGTACAGCAAATTTACTGCTTTAACGGGGCTGTGGAGGCAGATTTATAATAATAATATATGCACGGCGAAGGTGAAACGTCGGGTGATTTGTGTTTTCTGAGCTTTTATTGTGTGGTGGGGCATTAGTGCTAAGTTACTTGGAAGTAAAAAGTGTTTTGGGGAGGGGTTGAAAAGGCGACAGCTGAGGACGGGGGTAGGAATGGGGCACTAAACACATGGAGATCCAGAATATATGGAAGAGGTGAAGAACCAACCTACACTGAGAAATCAGATAAGTTGTATATACAGCAGTCAACATTTGAAGTGGATCATCACCGTTCCTCAAAGTTGTCCTTAAACTATTGTACAGCACCCATTCTTGTGCTAGGACAAACATTTTTGATTCACTTTGAATGTTGACTATTGTATATGCAAAACACATGTATGATTGTTCATTTGTATAAATTTAGTGATATATACAACTTACATTTTTAACTATTGGAATTTTATTTTAAAATATGCACATATATAAATGTATTAGCTTTATTTGTATTGGTTTACTCTCCTCTGTTTTTGTATGTTTTTTTGGTGTTTTGTTTTGTTGCTATTTTATGTTTAATTCCTTAGTTCTTCCTTGCTTTTTATTTTATTTTTTATTTTTTTATTTTTACTTTATTTTATTGTTTTTTTTATTTATTTTAATTTTATTAGTATTTTTTTGCTTATACATCTTATTTATTTAGTTTTTATATTATATTTTTATAGATAGTATATCTATAGTTTATTATATATTTTATATGTTTTTTACTTAATATAGTATTATTTTATTATTGTTTTTTTATTTAATTTAATTTGTATTTTATTTTATTTTGTTTTGTTTTATTTATTTATTATTTTATCTAATTTAGTTTTTTTTATGTATAATTCTTTAGTTCTTTTCTGTTTTTATTTCATTTAATATTTAATATTTGTTTAATTGTTTTTTATTTATTTTATATATATTTTTTGCTTTTATTTATTCATTTATTTATATATTTGTATTTGTTATTTAATTTAGTGTATTATTTTTTTTATTATTCAGTTATCTTCTTTTTACTTAATTTAATATTTACTTTTTTATTCTTTAATTTTATTAGTTTTTTTGTGTTGTATTTATTTAATTGTATTTATTTATTTAATTATTTTATTTTGTCTTTTTATTTAATATTTTAATATAGTTTATTATACGTTAAATTCTTTAGGTCTTTGCTTTTTACATAATTTTATATTATGCAAAATATTTTAGTTTATTATATTTTAGTTTATTATATGATTAATTCTTTATTTCTTCCCAGCTTTTTACTTGATATAAATTTAGTTTTATTAATTTATATTTAATTTATTTATTTTGTTTCTTTAATATTTAATTGAATTTAGTGTATTATATTTTTTTTTTCATTTTTAGTTCTCTTCTTTTTACTTAATTTATTATTTATTTGTTTTTTTCTTTAATTTTATTCGTTTTTTTCTTTTGTTCTGTTTTGTTTTATACATTTATTTAATTTAATTTATTTATTTAATTTGTCTTTTTACTTATTATTTTAATTTAGTTTATTATACGTTTAATTCTTTGGGTCTCTACTTTTTACTTAATTTAATGTACAATTTATTTATTGTTTTCTTTATTTTATTAGATTTTTTCAATTTCTGTAGTTTTATTTTTTATTTATTTATTATTTAATGTAGTTAACTAACTAATTATTTTTTTATTTATTGTTTTGTTTAATTTCGTTTATTATATGTTTAATTACCCAGACAATATAGCATTTTAAACTATTAAAAATTTACTACTAATAATAATACTATTCAAAAGCAGAAATAAATGGTTAAAAAAAATAAAACATGAATAACAAACTACAGAAAACTGCTAATTTATAGATTTTTTTACAGTGTAAATGAATAATAATAATGATAAATTAACAATCTGCAGCCCTTGTACCCAGTCCAGTTGCAGTGGTGCTCAGCTATAGAGTGTTAAACACAGGAAGCTGTGAGTTTGATCAGATAAAGTCAATGGCCAGATCAGATTTCACCCTCGCTGTGTTACATTCATTCTCCAAAAGTCAAATCTCTGCCCACAAGCTTTTGGCAGACACAGCACAAGTATCCTTCACTCCGTATATCTTTCACAACACACAGATGCACATACACACACATCTATACATTGCTGCCTTTCCCTACTTCTGTTCATTCTCATGCTGCATCACAATAATTCTGCACCCTAAAAGTGTGTCTCTTTGTGTTGCGTATACTGTTTAGTGTGTATCTGAAAAGTGTACAAGATTTGGGACAAACTACTTTGTAATTAATCGACTGTTCCATTGCTTAGTTACATGCCCGGCCATTCATCCTCATACAATAGTCAAAATTTGAAGTGTATTATTATTATTACAGGCGTGTGGAAATTGTCCGTAGTGTGAATAAGCGTGTATGGATGAGTTGTGTTGTGTGTGTTGCGGCTGGAAGGGCATCCGCTGTGTAAAACATGTGCCGGACAAGTTGCCGGTTCATTCCACTGTGGCGACCCCAGAGTAATAAAGGGACTAAGCCGAAAAGAAAATAGTTGAATTATTATTATTATTATTATTATTATTATTATTATTATTATTATTATTATTATTATTATTATACCAAAATGTCCTGAAATTATTCAGCAATGCTCATTCTAGATTTAGGATTTTTTTATAAAATAAAATTGTGAAATAATAAAAATATAATTGTAATTTTAAGGACATTTTATAATAATTATGCAAACTGTAATGTAAAAAGCCTGTCATTAATGAATTGTACATTTTTTGAGTGGGGTTTATAAAACTAAACAAAACTAAATAAAATAAAATAAAATAAAAAGCAAAATGGCAATAAGACAAAACAGAAGGATATCTAAAAGGTAAAAACTAAACAACTTAAACTAACTTAACTTAAAACTAAATAAAAAAATAAATATTTAATTAACATAAAAAAGCAAAAATAAGAAAATATTGAAGTTTATTTAACTGCAAACAAACAAACAAATAAATAAAACAATAGTGAGGTGAACAAAACTTAATAAATGAATAAACAAATAAATAAATACTTACATATTATGCCAACTGTATTGTCATTAATGAATTATAAGTCCATACAATAAATAAATAATTAATACATCATCTTTTTATTTAAAAAATAAATAAAATAACTCATACATTTTTAAGTGGGGTGTATAAAGTAAAATAAAATAAAAAAGACTAAACAAAATAGAAAAGGATATACAAAAGGCAAAAACATAAAAAAAATACTTAAAACTAAATAAAAAATATTTAACTCAATTAAACATTTAAAAAGGCACCGAGGATAAAATATTGGTAGCGTGCTTGACTGGAAAAATTAACTAACAGACAAACAAAGACATAATAAAAAATTAGGAAGGTTAACAAAACATAAAAAAATAAATAAAAGAATACAATAAAAAATAAAGTACAACAAAACAGAAAAGAAAGTCAAACCAAACAAAAACAATACTAACTAACTAACGAAGTAATTTAAATAAAATCAAATATATTGGTTATTACATTATTACATAACGTATTATTATTATTATTATTATTATTATTATTACATTATTACTGATTATTACATTACAGCTTGTTGCTGGTGTATGTGGGCAGAGTAATACACAAAGGGTAAGGGTGAAGAGGTCTTTGTGTGCTGTTACTGGCAAGATATCATATAATAATATATATATATATACAGAAGTCAGACCCCCTGTTTATTTTTTTAACGGATAGAAGATTGTTTCAACACATTTCTAAACATAATAAACATTAAACATTATCTTTGCCATGATGACAGTAAATAATATTTGACTCGATGTTTTTCAAGACACTTCTAGACAGCTTAAAGTGACATTTAAAGGCTTAACTAGGTTAATTAGGTTAACTAGACAGGTTAGGGTAATTAAGCAAGTTATTGCATAATGATTGTTTGTTCTGTAAACAATTGAAACCAAAATTTGCTTAAATGGGCTAATAATTTTGATATTAAAACATTTATTTAAAAATTTAAACTGTGTTCATTCTAGCTGAAATAAAACAAATAGGACCTTTTCCAGAAAAAAAATATATATATTATCGGAAATACTGTCCATTCTTTCCATTCTTTCAGTTCAGTTTACAGCAAAACATGACCTTGTTGAGATTCCCCCTTTCTGCTTTATTTTGGTTGAATTAGCGGATAATCTACTGTAAGCGCAGTGTGTAAAAAGACAGCTCACCCCGGTCTCAGGATGTGAAGTCCAGGCCAGCTCAGTCATGGCCCATTTGGTGTCCATCAGTGTTTCTGCAGACACACAAACAGAAAAATACACTCAGTCTGAGGAAACAACAGGCCAGCGAGTGAACAAACATCAGGTTTTCAACAACAACCAAATACTTTTTTAAAATACTTGTATACTCTTAAGTCACACAATATTAAATATTAAATAAATATTATCGACTCTATCAAGAGACAGCTTTAATCCGCGTGATTAGCATTATTTATTTTGGTTTGTGCTGTTTAGCCTCTGTAAAATATTTTACACTGTAAACTCGCATACTTTGTTTAGTCCAAGGTTATAATAGTTTTGGATTTTTCATTAGTTTTAGTTTCTATTTTGTTTTGACTTTTTGTTTTCAAATGTAGTTAGTTTAATCAGTTTTAGAGGCAGATTTACTAGTTTTTATTTGTTTTGTATATTTTGAAATGACTTAGTTTTAGTTTAGTTTTTACTAGTTTGTTTTATTTTATTTTTTCTAAATAAGGATATTTGTCAGGTGCAAGATTCAGTAGTCAATAGAATAAATATTGTATAACAAAAACTCATATATTTTTTGAAACCTGTATTTAGAGGACACATGAACACTATCATGTACCACTGCCATCTACCCATCTTCAGTGATGGGAAGTTCAGATCTTTAACGTGGATGTTAGAACTCAACATTATGTAGTCAGCAATGCTAATTACAGTCAGTTAAAACATCACCATGATCAGAAAAATGTCTTACAGTACAGTTTTGCAACCCAACTGAAGCATGATTCACTTATTTAAATTCCATTACGATTATCTGTTATGAAATAAACTTACGTTTTTCACCAGATCCTCTCATTTAGGCCCACGGTTTACCCACGGTGCTGTTGTTTGAGTTTAGTTCAGTCACAGCAGGCTGTACTGTTTGTGTTTGGTTGACTGAATCACGCATGCACAGTATTATCGGTTCACCGCTTCTCAATGTAACGTTGCTGTTCTAATAACTGAATGAGAGTATATATTGGATTGTTTAAAGTCAGAGAAGGGTATTAGGCTTGCTAAATGTAAGTAATTTGTGGATAAGTGTTTACTAGAGACACGAATCGTTTAAAATGATTCAGTTGGATTTAGTGAATTAGTTCAAGCGGTTCACTTAGAAGATCCGGTTTAAAAGATTTGTACGTGATCGCGATACAGAAATAAACCCCATTATTTGGCACAAATGTGTTAACGTAACAGTTTAAAGTGTCTGTATTTAATGCTTTCACCGTGCTGCTGTCATGTCCACTCGTTGTTTTTGTCGTGGGAGCAACAGCGAGGATGATTGGAGGTGAACTGGCTCGATCTGGCCTGGAGCACGAATTATATTTACTTCTAAAAGGCTTACAGTTGGATTATGTATTAAATACATTCGCAAAGACGAAAACGGAGGAGGTTTTTGCAATTATTTTAGTTTGTTTCAGTTAGTTCTGTATGCACATGATACAGTTTCAGTTAGTTCTAGTTTTTAAAAAAATCTCTCGTTTGTATTTTTATTTCAGCTAACGACAATTATTTTACATTTTAGTTTTCATGTTTTCGTTCGTTTTCGTTAACTATAATAACCTTGCTTTGGTCACATATTTTCCTCATTTACAATATAAAACACATTTACAGGTTGCTAGATTTCTGATCCCTTAACTCTAGTTAGCTGTTTCAGAAAATAAAAAATAACGTATATGCCTTAATGTTCAATTAATGTTTCACGTTTTTACATGCAAATGTCACACGCAAATCTCAGGCACTCGAAATACAGGAGAAACAAATGAAAGGAGAAAAAAAGCTGTTGAGGAACTGATAACTGTCACTGTCCATACGGCTAATAGATATGAATGTGTTGCTGTGAATTCATGAGCGCAGGAACGGGAAGAAACACCATCATGCTAATCAACAGTGAAAAGACGGCAGAAAAGCCGAGCCGCTTTGTGGGTGATCCAGAAGGCATTGTCAAAGATTTATGACAGCCCTCCTCTAATTAGATTTAATTAGCCGTGTATTTGCGGGGTGGGAAAGAAAAGCGAAGTGTTTCTGAAAGACACACACACACATATAAAACGGAGCACAAGGGTTCTTCAAGAGTGCCATAAAAACACACAAAAGCAGATCTTCAGGCTTTCCTCAATGGTCAATATGGTGTGTGTGTGTGTGTGTGTGTGTGTGTGTGTGTGTGTGTGTGTTTTCCTCCCTCTGGCCATATGTGCAGCATATTGAGTCTAAGTGTTTTAGAGGGTGCATTTACTTTTGCACAGAGCAATCGTGTTTTACTCATTTTGATGGATTAATTTATTTAGACTGTCATGTATTTTGTGTGTGGCTGTAATCTGGGGAGGTGTTATATGTACCTGTCGTATGTACAGAAGCAAAGCCGCATCATTGCATGTTTAGTCCTCCAAAGTTGCGTTGGGTTTTAATTTAGTTTATTCTGGATGAAAACATGAGGTTGTAAGAATTAGCTGAAAAAAAAGCAGGGTTGGAATTATAGTAAACAGGCTTGATGGTCTTTTTTGTGTATCGTTATCTCTTGTAACTGTTATATTTTTTAAGATGCTTCTATACAGCTTAAAGTGACAATTAAAGGCTTAACTAGGTTAGTTAGGTTTACAAGGTAGGTTAGGGTAATTAGGCAAGTTATTGTATATCGATGGTTTGTCCTGTAGATTATCGAGAAAAAATACATAGCTTAAAGGGGCTAATAATTTTGGCCTTAAAATGGTGTTTAAAAAATGTAAACCTGCTTTTATTCTAGCCGAAATAAAACAAATAAGACTTTCTCCAAAAGAAACAATATTATCAGACGTACTGTGAAAATTTCCTTGCTCTGTTAAACATCATTTCGGACGGAAATATTTAAAAAACAGATAAAAATTCAAAGGGGGGCTAATAATTTTGACTTTAACTGTATGTGTGTGTGTGTGTATATATATATATATAATTATTATAAAACTAAATAAACAAAAATATAAATAATATTACATTGTAGCAGTTAAAGAGTATAAAATAATAAAATAATATAGATATTTAGATATTGAATATAGATTATATATAGAATATATATTACTTAGATAAGCTCCAGATTTGGCTTCAGTATTGACTAAATTACAATTTACATACATTTATTATTGTAAAATTATTATTGTAATACTACTACTACTACTAATAATAATAATTTTAATGCACTATGAGTTACTGGACTAATGATGAATGATTTTATTTTCATTAATTATAAAACATGTTAATAAAAAGAATAAACTGCTGTAATAATTGTATATTATTTATTATTTGTTCATGCTAGACATCATAGTCACATTAACTAATTTACCATTATTTTAAAGTACTATTAATAAAAATATTGTTATTATTATTATTGTTATTATTATTATTATTATTATTATTATTATTATTATTAAAAACAGCTATAATAATACAATAATAATAATAATAATAATAATAAAATTAATAATAATAATAATAATAACAAAATTGATAACAATAATAATAATAATAATACAAAAATAATAAAAACAACAATGACAATAATAATGTTATTGTTGCTATTGTTTTTGTTGTTGTAATTATTATTAATACTACTATTATTACCAATATTCACATCACTGTAAAATATTAACTAAAATGATACAGCTTCTGTAACATTTAAATTAAAACAAATAATCTTTCAATAATGCTATCTAAATCAAAAATATAATACAAACTTTTTTTCTTTTGCTGTTGCTAAATATCAATAAAACTCTACAGGCACAGCTGCTTATAATACATGCGACCAAATCAATGTTATACCAAAAGTAGTCTACATTAAAGGGATTGTTCACTCAAAATAATTACATTTTCTCATCATTTACTCACCTTTAACTTGTTCAGACCCCCTTTGACATTCTTTCTTCTGTTAAACATTAAAGAAGATATTCTGAAGAATGTCGGAAACCGGTAACCATTGACTTCCACAGTATTTGTTTTTCCTACTATATACGTCAATGGTTACTCAATTTCAGCTTTCTTCAACATATCTTCCATGTGTCCAACAGTTGTAAATATAGGTTTATAATCACTTGAGAGACCAGGGATGTCCGAACTCAGTCCTGGGGGGCCAATGTTCTGCATAGTTAAACTCCAACTTACTTCAACACAACTCCCATGAAGTTTTAGTATACCAAGAAAGAGTTTGATCGGCTGGTTTAGGTGTGTTTGATTACAGTTAGAACTAAAATATGTAGGACACAGGGCCCCCTGGACCAAGTTTGAGCACCCCTGGAGTCGACTAAATAGTGAGCGCTTTTTAATTTTTGCGTGAACTAACCCTTCGATGTGAATATATAGACCTATCTCTGTGCCTTCACGTGCTGTTTTAAACTGTTAATTTTCCTCAACGCAGCACATTGACACATTGATTCACTGTTCATTCATCTTCAAACTCCACAAAAAAACAGCTGTGTGTGTGTGTGTGTGTGTGTTTGAAAAGAAAAGCTCCAGTCAGCGGTCGCTCTGTCGCAGCTCAGCCGGCAGAACAGCAGAGAAAAGCGGCTGAGTCTCCGCACGGACTCCCGCTGAATGTTCGCCACTGAACGCAGCGTTTCTGCACACTTCGCTTTTGTTAGCGTTTTGTGAAGAAAAAAAAACAGCAAAGGCGAGCATTGTGTAGCCGAGCGAGGTTTTACATCAGCAGGCAGAGAGAGAGTGAGAGAGAGAGAGATAGAGAGAGAGAGATGTATTAGCCTGTCATAAACACAGTCAGCCAGTGACAAAACTAGTCAAAAACATTATAGGAAACCATCTAAATGAATGTTCTGCATTATATTATATTATATTATATTATATTATATTATATTATATTATATTATAGGCCAATAATAGTCTTTTTTTCTTATTTGCTTATGTATTTAGTTCTAATTTGTGTATATACAGGGGTCATGCAGCATACATAAATACACTCCATTTTTCACTGAGAACAGCCTAAAGACAATAGCCTATATTTTGGTGCATTTGAATAAAGCTGATTTAT